CACAATTTAGTGTCCGTCCCATAAACGAACAACTCTTGAGACACCCTCTCTCAACTACAGCCATTTTATTAGAGCTCTTGAACCTCGTCCCGTTCCAGGGGACAATCCAGCCATTCGGGGGAGCTTCCAGAATTTATTCGCTCCTTAGCAGGGGCAACTACTTAAAATGTAATATTTCACTGACGCGTAAAAACTATCATAAAGCAAGAGTTTTATCATCGCCATAGCTACTCTACAACGTGGCCATTCATCCATGCTTTAATGCGTCCTCCGTAAATGCATCGAAAGCGACGCAATTGCACTGTTCCTCGTCATTGCCATCGTTGGCCGAGCGCGTTCGAATCAAAAAGCTGCGAGTGCGAAAGTTTCATCCGTGCTTAATGGCTTAATATTTTGCCCTTTCTCGCACTCCATTCCTTCCCTCTATCCCCCTTAACATCCTATGCATCTAGGCGTACAGTTTTCAAGAGAATTTCATTTCGCTACATCGAGGAGTTGGTGGAAAGTTTTACGTCCTTCCAGATTAAAAGTTCAGCCTACTGCATCGTCGTAGCAGTAAGCGCAGAAAGTCAAAAGTGATGATAATTCATCGTCTTATAAGGAGGTAATCGTCGTAAATATTCTGGACACGAACCGGATGAGAGGTGCGGTGCACTGGATGGTCTGGCACAGGAAGCCGACTTCTTGAAAATTCATCAAAAGCTGCAGTTTTACATTGTTCAAGTGGCAGTCCCGAGTTGAAAATGTCTGGAAAACCTTGACAATAAGTTTGCTGGGAATTTAAACTTAATTAAATACAAAACTTTATGACATAATGCAACCCGTAAAGCCATCAATATATTTTGAAAATAAATAATTCCGATACTATGAATTGCGCAGTCAATAAAGGTACACTAATACTTTCTGTGGAATCCATCAAACATAAACTAATTACGCATAGATGTTCATAATAGAGGATTATCAAACTAGTATGTTTACTACATTCGCTTTGTTTTCGTGCGCGGCAGTCTGTTTGTGCGTACACTCATGCTCTACCGTCGTTTCTCTCCCACAGTACAAACGGTAGAACAACATTAGAGCAAAAGAAAATTATCAAATAACTATCATATGACAATGTGTTATTTCGATATAATTCCTCATTTCTGTGTGAATTAAACCATTTCTGATCAAAAATGTTATTACTAGGACACCGTAATATATACGTGACAGTCATCGGCAACAGAAATGCCGCGAATACAACGTGCCCACACATCATTTGTTCATCGATTTCAAATCCGCATACGACACAATCGATTGAGATCAGCTATGGCAGATTATGCACGAGTACGGATTTCCGGATAAACTGACGCGATTGGTCAAGGCGACGATGGATCGAGTGATGTGCGTTGTTTGAGTATCGGGGACACTCTCGAGTCCTGTTGATGTTTTCTGCATGTCTTATAATACATTTATACAACAAGCCGTTCTAATTCTTTTTCAAAAATATGTTTTATGTGTTACTTGGGTAGTTCCGTTAGAGTACGGCAGTATGAAAATTGAATAGAAGTTTTAAAATGAGCGAAGGGCCATTAATGCGACAGTGCAAGTCAAACGCACACTATTTGCCTAACCCGTACGATGTACGTGGAGATTTGAAGTATGTCTTCAAATCTACAGGCAAAAAGTGTGCGCTTAACTTTGCTCAAATACTGCCTGCGCACACAAATGGTGGTTAATCCTGTTAGGGCCGGGACATAAAAAGTATTTTTCTTCCGAGTATGGGAGGGACATCGGATGTGAAAATAAATGCGTATTTAGAGGTACCAGACCAGGTGTTGCAGTGTCAGGTACTCAATTTTGTAGTATGTGAAAGTGATTTCTAGGATTGTTGACTACACTATCATCTGCTATCATCTAATGAAAAGCAGTTTATGTGTAATGTCCGACAGATGTCGCCACAAACAACAGTAGTGACATCTGATGGCCGATAAGTACAGAAACCATTTCCGTCGGCTCATCGAATAGTGCACACTTAAACCGATTCTTACTTAGAAAGTGCGTCACTTTTACTCATTCGTATGGAGTAATTTCTAAAAACGTAAGTTACTTATGCGCTGAGTGACCTACGCTTTAAAAATGTCTCCATACATAAATGTGTCTCACAACTGAGAAAAGTGACTCATTCTCTGAGTCAGCCTAAGCAGGGATGCCAGATATACATTAACTGCAACCAGGTCCCAGGGCTTGTCTGTATCTTTATAATTTGAAAGATACACACTAGTGATGCCAGTTGTGATGTAGTGGACCAAAAATTTGTTGGAATTTAACTACTAGCCAACAGTAAATAATTATGATTTTAAAAATGAATTGTTTTTTCTAAATAATTGAGCTGCAAAAAACAATAAAATAGAATTTATTTATTTGGTTCATAATATTTGGAATGCGATATCATATTAAGACTCAAGGAATACATAAGAGACTATTGAGAAAACTTCAGGGAAGCTTTGGTTGTTCGCAAACATTCAAAAGAACCTCAGGGTAATTTTAGTGAATTTCAAATCAACCATAGAGGAGTTAAGGGTTCTTTAAAGAAGTTTAGAAATCATCAAAAATAATTCGGAAAAAGAATTTATTTTGCCATGATTTTTTTTTTCGTACTGAGTACCAATGTTATCGACGCCATGGAGGCAACTCTCACACCTGGACTTTACCTATCGACCCATCAACTCATAGACCGGGGATCAACGGCTTTACTTCCAAAATCCCAGGCAAAATCGACGCCGACTGGGTTTGAACCCAGGCCCTTTGGAATGAGAGGCACTGGCTCTGCTTATTGAGAATTATTGAAAACGCTTTAGAAAAATTTATTAAGATTTAAGGAATCCACACGAAATTTATGGAATTTTTAGGGGACAATAGACAATAGAGAACCTTAACAAAAATTCTAAAAAACCCAACAATTCACACTGGGCAAAAATTGACAAAACCGCGACTAAATTTAATATCTCGGCTGCCAAACGGTTTCAGTCAACATGTTATACATATTCTGCTAAATCGATTGGTGGTGGTCTCATTGGCCGGAGACTTTTGCGTACCGAGATAGAGGGCCGGGATCTACCGGAGTTCCCGGTAAAGTAGGAAACGCCACTATCTATCGACATAATTTTACACTTTACTTAATGTATATTACTGAAAATTGATAGTACTAAGTATATATGGTATAAAGACACCATATACACCCTCAGGGAAACTCTACTGGTCTAAAGGGGATCCGGAACGACCGATGATGTGGCCACATTATAAAAAATGTCATAGAACCAGAATCAAGAGATCAAAGTGTATTTAATATGGAGACTATATTTTGGGGTATAGTGGCCATATTCTGGTTCTCCGGATAATCTGGATTGACCGACAAAGTGAATTCCGTTCAGTGGGCCATCCACTCAGCAGCCAAAAAAACAGTACCAGGACATCCTGCCCTCACTCACCCGGAAGTGAAGTTGGAAGCCAGACGAATTGCAGAATGCCTTGAACAACATTTCAGAATACAGGTAAACCGTCCAAAACCAGGAGGAAGTGGTAGTTCCAATATCGGCAACCTTTCCCACCGTTTGCTTTCAGCGCCTGACATATTAGCCGATATTTTGAATGTTAGTAGGAATATGAAACAAAATTTGCTAGAAAAATATGATGGCAACGCATTAGTATGGTCTGATCCGAAGCTATCGTATCTAACATACCACAATGAAGGTTCGAAAGTAGCATTTGGTAGTAAGGATGTGATATACATGGAGGAAGTGGCACAATATTCTATGGATAGCGGTGTAGAAGATGAAGGGAAAACGAATGGCGAGCAAGATTGCGACAACATGGAATACGACAGCAAGAGTTTGTGTGAATCTTGATATTTTCAGTGACGAAGAAGACTAGGAATAAATACCGTGTTATTAGAGGCCCGGATGGGCCTAGATAAGTCTTTTAATCTTACACGTATCACAATACCTAAATTGAAATTTTTCCCCAGCTTGTGCTTTAGACAAATGTTGAACAGTTTAGATTATACGACCTACTTTATCGGTCTACCCGGATTATTCGGAGGACCAGGATATGGTTATTTGATCCCAAACTATAAATTTCATATTAAATACGCTTTCATCTCGTGATTCTGAACAAACAACAGTTCTAGGACAATTTGTATAATCTGACCACTTTATCGGTCAATCCAGATTATCCGAAAAACCGCAAAATATAGTTTCCATGTTAAATACGCTTTGATCTCTTGATTCTGAACAACATAGAAAAAATCATAAAAATCATAAAAAAAAAGTATGCTATTCTGCGACATGAAAAAAACTTTAACTAAACTGCTATTGTTGATGTTGATGTTGATTTATATGTTTCTTCAAATTTCAAATCCTACAAGAATATAATTCCATTATCTTTTGTTTTTCTTTTATTAGTATGTGTCTGTTTTGTCTCCTCATCTCGATGAGCCTCACCGCCTCCACAGCCGGTCGAAGTCCAGACGAAGTTGAGTCTGGAACCGCACTACCGTTCATATAATGACGACAACGCTCTGATGAGACAACAAAACCTCACACCCAAGCTCCTCCCCTGATCCTATCCTTCGACAATGTACCCCTCTAGCCTCGGGCAAGCCACCAGTATCCGGCCCAACTCCTACTAGACCAAGAATTAAGTTAGTTTTGTAGCGTAACAATGAATTATCGGCTCCGTAAAGCTGACGGGATTGATCCTTTCAAATGAACTAACTAGATTTAAAAAAGGTAAGGGTTAATAAATAAATATGTTTCGAGTTTTAAAATTGAGCATCTAGCACGACTTATCTGATCAAAATAAAACTATCATTCAGTGAATATACTAATATTTGCTCAAATGAAGCATATTCGTTATCAAGGCATTTTAACTTGACTCTTAAAAATGTTGGAGAAACACTAAAGCAATTTAAAATTAACTGCAAAGGGGAAACCCTCCCATGGAAATTTCCATTCAATACTCACCGGAAACTGCTAGCACTGCTAATAGACTACCGGCGCTTGTGATGATAAAATGATCCCTGGAGTATCTCAGACCACGGCTAGCTGCCGGAGAGACGAAGACGAGAAATAAAATGAGCTTCCAGCTAGAGGATCCAGTCCAGCACAATGAGTGGCAGCCGGGCTGCTGTTTCAACACAGTCGAAAGAAGCAATGTAGGAAATGATGCCTTTCACCGTGTTGTTGGCTATTGTGCCGTTTTTCGCTCCAGCTTTTCCCTGGCCGCCGTCTTCACCAACTGCGCCCACAACACTTCAACAGGAATCTCACTTTTTGGGCGGACAACAACGATGTGAATTTATTATATTTTATCTCTTGTTTCACTTGGCTTCTCACTTTCACACGACTTGATTTTGTGCTCCACTCACTCTTCCTCTTATTTTTTTTGTTGGTTCCGGAAGTTTAGTTGTTCTTTTTTTCCGGCTGCTCACTTTTCTATCCGACGACGAACGTCGGAACTGTGGACTGTGTGTAGTGCTCCACTGGGGGAAATTGTGTTATTTGCTATGCTTTATGGATATGTTCCACACCCCACATACACCGTTGAAGGAATGCGCTGGCACGACGCTTCACAGCAGGAAACGCTATAAAACAATTTAGCACTTGTCAGCAGGGTGTGGGGCTGAGGAGGGGTTGTAGAGAACCACAAGTTTCGGTGTGTGGTGGTGGCGCCTGGCTATGTGTGGTGAAAAGGATCCCTCAAGTGGGCCGTTGAACGTTGGCAGAGGAACGACGTGGTGGGAAGATGGTATACTGGGATCTTGTGAAACAATGTTGTAATTATCTGAATAACGAATGTAATTGTTGTTAGCGACGTAATTGAGAAGAATCTATTATTTTTAATCGTTTCTAAGTGCACTTGAAAGAGTACTGAAGCTGGATATTCAAACAGGCTTTTCCCTGATGTCTTACATTTCCGAGTGAAAGTTGATCGTGTGTGCTTAGTAGACTGCCAATGATTGTATGGGAAAAATTTGATCATCAAATTTCGCTAACAAACCATATACAAAATGTTTATTGCCTCGAAAAATGACCCTATGCAAAATTTTAGCTCAATCGGACATGATTTAGGGGTGGCGCAAACGCGTCAAAGTTTTTCACTTTCGAAAATCTCCCAAGGGGGGGGGGGGAACATGAAATTTCGGAAATCAAAAATTTGTTTTGATGCCAAATGTCGTAAAAATGCATGAAACGTCGAGATTTGGTGTAATCCACCCAAATGAAGAATAATTGGACCACCCTAGTGAATTATTTCGTATTAGATCCTAAATGGTGGTTTAATTCGATATATAAGCAGGTTGGAGACAATTGTGAACAGTTTTAGAAGCCGACTCATCAATCTTCTATATTCCATATAGAACTCATGAAAAAAAAATTCAGTCCCAGATAGTCGATTTTTGAAAAAAAATTTTTTTGAGATAACACCAAATCTCGACGTTTCATGCATTTTTAAGACATTTGGCATCAAAAAAAATTTTTTGGCATCAAAAAAAATCGGTAAAGGCGCACAAAGAAAAACCATGCTGGAGGTGGCTGGGTTCGATTCCCGCTCTGGTCTAGGAATTTTTTGGGTTGGAAAACTTCTCAACTTCCATGGGCATAGAGTATCCCAAGCAGCACAAGCCAGTGGCGGAAGGTTGCAGTAACTTGATTATGACTGACATAAGTCACATAAGTGTTGCCTTAACCGTTTGCAACAATGGATGAATGTACTTGCCACACAATTATACTAATGCAAAAATGGTAAAGCATCGAAAGCTCTCAATTAAAAACTGTGGAAGTGCATTTAGAACACTAAGTTGAGAGCTCGCGATAAACTTGAATTTCGAAGAAGAAGAAGAAGAAGAAGAATAAGAAGAAGAAGAAGAATAAGAAGAAGAAGAAGAAGAAGAAGAAGAAGAAGAAGAAGAAGAATAAGAAGAAGAAGAATAATAAGAAGAAGAAAAAGAAGAAGAAGAATAATAATAAGAAGAAGAAAAAGAATCATAGTTACGCACCGAACAAATGCGTTCCAAAGGTTTGTTAAAAATTAATTTGAATATCCTACCTCGAGTTGACGGACCTTCTCCAGTGCCCCAATCAGTAGATGGTAACGCATTACCTCTGAGTGTTTTCATGTTCGCCCGGTAACACCGAGCTCTCTCTGCAGCAGTCTTGGGTCGTTGTGAAGAACAGTCTGCCTGACGATCCTTCGAATGTTCACCGTTATTATTCACTGACTACAGCAAAAATAGTTTTGTTAAACTTGTTGTTTCAAAACAGTTTAAAAAATAATCTGTCCAACTTTAACTTAGTTTTCCCCAATATGGCGGAAATGTTACATTGGTCCTTGGATATATGTCTTGCATTTTTTACTATTATACTTTATCATAAATTTTTCAAGTATTTCCTTGTTTCGGTAATGATTCAATTTTGGATCAAATTTTTACTATAATATAATAAATTATGAAAATTCAAATATGGGGTCCTAAACAAGCTGGTATGCATTTTGGAGTAGCATCTCAGTATAGCCCACAAAGACCCCACGGATGAATTGTGGGATAAAACAATTTCCAAAAAATACGTTGATTTTTTTTCAGTAGTTCCATCATTAGTTTTAAATTAAATATCTGAAGCAGAGAAGAGAGTGAAGGTTGCATTTTATGATAACGCAACAGGCAGTTTCCTTATCAGAAGACGGTACTTTCAATATTGAACAAAATGTTGGTTCAAATGTCAACGAAGTAGGGGAGAAAGGGGTATAACGATCCTACGAGGTTTAAGCACCTCTTTGTTCTCCAATTTGGAGGACAACCCTAACATAAAATTGTCATGCATCATCATTATGTAGTTTACAACGTGTTCGTAGAATGATGCAAAATAGAATACTGTGACTTTTCTCAAATCAAACGTTTGGTTTCCAATAAGTATTTGCTTAGTACAATATTTATTGGATATTAGGGGGATTCAATTATTGTATTTCAAAGCCAGAGCAAAAGCTCGTATGAGGTATGAGGCAAATTGCAAACTCAAACAAATAAAACTTATCACGTGAAACCTCAAATCACATTAAAATTCAACGACCAGTTCAATGGCAGTTATTAAGAATAGCCAGGATCCAGTCAAGTTTCGGAAATCCCAAGGAAAGCAGCCAGTTTTAGACTTGAATCAAAATCCATTCAAATCACATGAGAATTCATCTACTTCCTCTATGCTCTGTTTATGAAAGTTGTGACTAGGAAAGTAAGGGGCTGTTTATTTTATTTATTATATTTATTTATATAAACTATAAAGACAATTATAGACAATTGTCCATACAAAATTTTTAAAATTTGTATAGGTCGTGGATAATTGCCAACATCCCCCTCCTAAACTGTTTACGTAGTTTATGAACAGCCCCTAAACAGAAAATTGTGTTGCTGCGCGCGAAGAAAACTGTAAACAATCCGAAGCACACCTGACAGCGAATGCAGAAAACAACTAGGTCCAACCAACACACAAATATAAATTAGGAGTTTTGTGTAAATAATTTCCGCGTTGAACCTGTCGCTGGTTGTCAAGGTGATCATGCCGTGATCCACCTCTAGGGACCTGTTCATTAACTACGTAGCAGTTTTTGGGATTCTTGCGCTCCCCCTCTCCCTGTGTATATGACCATACAAAAAAAAATTTGTATGGACCGTGAATAATTGTAAACACACACACCCCCCCCCCCCCTCCCCCACAACTGTCTGTGTAGTTAACGAACAGCCCCTAGGGATGTTTACATCTGTGTGGATTTGTTAGCGCCACGCCTAGCCTTATATCTTTTCAGGTTCAAGCAGAACAATGTGCAACTAAGTGGTACTCGCTTATGACGACTGGGTTTGGGGAAAACGTTTATTTCATGAAAACAGTGATAAAATTATCATTTGTACATTTTTCAAAAGTTTTTTTTTTAATGGAAAATTCCACCTTTTACCGCTGACAATGTTGTTGCTACTGCTTGCTGCCGGTACCTTGAGCGATACGCTTACCACGCCGTCGATGCGAAAATAAGCGTTATTTCTGTTGATTATGATTGTACATTGATTAAACATTTCAATTGATTAGCCTATCTGGCTCTTCATCTTTGTTTAATTGGATATTCTACTTTAATATTTGCATTTTTCAACTAGTTCACAGAAAACCCCTTGAAGGGTGTGTTTTGATTGAATTGAAAATTTTGATAACCTACCTAACTACGAGTATAACTAGACCTAACGTAGCCTAACGTCTCTGAACCATTCCAGGAGTTTTTCTAATATATGAATTCCAGCTAGGAAGTGGATATCAGAATTTAGAGTCCACGGGGGGCTGTTTAGGATCCTTTGTAGTCTAAGGTGATTTAAGGTGAGCGATAGATCAAATTACTAATCGCAGAGGTTCTATGTTCTTAACAAAAAAAGGTGAGTGGAGGTGCAACAGTAGCGCTTTTGTATAATATTACAGGTTCAATAGTGATGCGCAACCAAGTGATAATCGATTATGTTAGGAAAAACGTTTATTCCATTAAAACAGTGACCAAATTATCACTTTTTATTTAAATATTTTTCAAAAATTGGAAACGTATATATTTCAGCAATAGTAATTTCCTGTCGATTGGTGTATTTTGATTTTAATTTCATCTATAAATGACAAAGTTAAAAGTGTTCAAAACCTAACACCTTTTCGTGACATATGCAATTTTAATGTATTATATTAGTTGAAAGGCCTTCTCCAGTGTCCCAACCAGTAGAACGTACTACCTCTGTCTGCTTTCATGTTGACCCAATAACACCGAGCTCTCTCTACAGCGTACCTTCCCAGACGTCAAAAATGAAGACTAATAAGAAGACTGCAACGGATCATACGTCTAAGATCGTATTCACAAACAAGTAATTTATGATCTGAACAGTGTTTAAAAAATCGCTCCTGAAAACATGCACCACACCGTTATCATGAGCTCATCAACTCCTGTTCACTAATATAGTAACGGTTTTCTATCCGTGAAATGTAAAAAAAAAGTGATAACGGGCTGAACGACCATCAGAATACATCCTAATCATAAAATAGCATTGATATCAAAATAATCGAAAATCCAAGCTTATACAAGCATCTGGTTTCCGTGCCAAAGTGCCAAATTGTTCATAAGCAATGATTTCAATCTCCTCCGCTGCAACCATCATGAAAATTTTACACCATAAATTTACCATAAATGAAACCGTTCATCAAGTGTCTATCAAACAACGAACCCTTCTTCCCTCCCCAACAGGAACCGCACGAAAGTCGGTCATCGTCAAATTTACTACGGTATCAACCAACATGACTTCCGCACCAGTGTCAAATCTGTCCTGTACCGGAAGTGGGTCGTGATGTGGAGTCTTCATTCACGCCTTACTTCGTCTTTCTTTCGCTTCTTTTCATCCTCCTCCAACTTCTCCTTCTCCTCCTCCAACTCCAGAGCGTCAATAATAAAACAGTAAAAGCAGCTCTACCATGCAAACTGTAAAACAGTTGGCCGATGGTGGTTGCTTCCCGTCATGAGCCCCTCAGTTCGGCATGCTGGCTGGCCTGGCAGTCAGGCAACATATGTGTGAGCCATAAA